TTTCCCAAACTATGCCAGAGTCTAATGAGTGCCTTAATATGCATGTGTAGATGTGGCCAAAGTGTGTAAAATTATGCAGGTGTATCTCCTTTTCAACAATATTATTTCCCTCAACAATAAATGCAATACCTGCCAACGCATCTCTATGGCCAGAACAATCAACACATCAGAATGAAACCATCAAAATCCATGGATCATACACTTGTCTATCCCAGAATGTGGTACACTTCATCCAATGCACCAAATGCCCTCATGGTAACTACGTGGGTGAAACTAACAAAAATAACACACCAGAATGAATAAGCACCAGAAAAAAATAAAGAATAGAGACACTAAAACATAGGTAGGGAAACATTTTTCTCAGAAAAATCACTCACTGTCTGACCTCACAGTTCTTCTGCTCAGAGGAAATCTACCCAACACTCCTCATAATATTAGCTTGGAAACAGAAATTCATTAGTCTATTGGATACTAAGTACTACGGACTTAACACAGACAGTGACCTCATGATGATCTACTTGATAATCTACCATTATAATATAACCTCTGCACTTCACAGATGATAATGACCCTCCTGAACACTCTTATTCCTCCTATATCAGGCTTTCACTGCATCTCTCCTGCATGTTGACTATCTGATCATTTCTCTTGTATCCTGTTTTTGTTTATAAATTTTACACAAGCTTTTGTTACATCTGCAACTTAACTCTTCTGTGTCTGCTCCTATCCCAGTGCTTGCAGATGTTAAAAAAAAAAAACCCAACAACACCACATTTTACCAGAAGCAGCAAGGTCTTACTTCCACCCAACTCTGCAGTGTCCGTAAATATTGGGCGCTTCAGTGGGACTTTTGGTGCTTTTAGCTAAAGCTGATTCAATAAGCTATTTGATAAAAGTGCCAAAAAGCCCCATTAAAGCGCCCAATCTTTATAGATGCTGCAGAGCCAGGTTGAAGTAATGTACTGACTCTTCTGGGCATACACAGGGCTTGGCTCAGGTATGCACTGAGTTTAAAGTAAAGCTCCATTTTGGCTTTTTTAACTGTCTGCAAGCAGGCTAAGATACCAGAATGCTTGCCTATGTCTATCTCAACCAAGCAGCTGGTCCAATAAAAGATATTACCCACAAGAATTCTTGCTACTTGCATCCTTCCTGGACCATCACAGCAACACCATCACTGTAACACAAGCAGGAAGGAAAGAAATTTCTAGAGGATTTTTAGACTTATCAGTAATTGGGAAAATGCTGATGCATGCAGGGTTAATTTGGAGGTATTTAGGAAGACTATCTATGAAACAGTTGTGGTCTTTGGATTATCCTAGGCTTTGGGGGAGTCCAAATCCCCAGTGGTCAGGGCTGGCAGAATCAGCTGGAAGGGTGATCTCTGGAAGTACTGGCAGGACTCTCAGAGGGGCTAGGTTGTAAGGTAAGAACTTTCCTTCTTTTTGTTGTCTTCAAACTAAATGGTGAGTTTTAATTGTATAATTCTTTTTTCCTATATAATAAATACCTTTGATATTTTGTCTCCTAAATGACTGTTTGTGGGAAAGTGAGATCTCAGGTCAAGTGATACTCCAAGCTAGCCCATTCTATGGGAAGGGGGGGCCTAAAATTCTTTCACAATACAAGGGGAAACTACTTGAAGCTACCAAAGATGTGTCTCCCACAGATGTGGAGTCCAGTAAGAAGGGCAGTAGGGCTGAAGTTGTGGGGAGAAGGACTCACCCCAGGGCAAACCTTAGTCTGTTCCTTGGGAGAAGCTCTGGGATAGTGGGAAGAAACTTGCGGTTCCAGCAGTGCCCCATAGACAGGTTTGTGATAACTACCCTCCCCAATTGAGAAATAATGTTCTAATTCATGTCTGTGTTGGGTGTTAGGAAAGGTTTGCCACACTATTACTGAAAGAGCCCCAAAACAATTGTGATATAGAAGTGATTAGTCCGTGCTAAGAAACTGTTTATTCAAAATGATCTCCTAGAAGTACCTGAAACACAAAATTCAGAGAGAGAGAGAGAGACAAAGCACCACCATAAAAAGGATGCTCTGGAGTTCTCAGATGACTGCACAGCACAGAAAAGCAAAACTCTCTCTAAACTCAGACATTAAACTTGGGAACTGAAACTAAACCTGGGCTCTTTCTTTCCTGTACATAACCACAAGCAACAAAGAATTTACAGATCAAGTTCTGCCCTGACTCATGTCTTTTCAGGACAACTCTCTTTAGACTCTGACCTACAACTGAAATTTATTGACAGCTCTGTTGATACATCAGCTAAAGAAGAATCCAGTCCCTTATTCCAGCTCTGACAGGTTCCCAAACTCTGACAGACTGCGCACCACCAATTTAAAACAATACAACCTTAAGTACCACCAACAAATTTTTGTCATATAAAGTAATTATAATAAATCTGTTAACGTGTACCACTGACAGATTCTCTGCATACCACTGGTGGTACCTATACCACAGAATAGGAACTGCTGTCTGTGATGGTTCTGTAGTCCCATCTGCAGTAAAACTACGTAAAAGCTTATTTTTGCTACTAATGTCAGCACACGTGACTTGGGGACATGCAGCATTAGTCATTCTTTGAAATAAAATCATGCTTTGAGTTTAGTATTAACCATTTAATTTTGAGGAAAAATCATAGACCTCTATTAACAGTTACTTACCTTTGCATACACCTGTGATATTTTCCCATTTTTGACTTATTGTGCATTCTGAAAAATGTCTGTCTCCATTAAAGTAATACCCTTCTATACATCTATAGTACACCCTGCTCCCCAGAGCTGTGGATTTGTCCCAGATCATTTCTGTATGTGGAATCCAAAAAGGTCTGCCACAGTCTATTTCTGGAGAAAGAAATAGAGGACAAAAATTTACAGCAAGCCAGGGCATGACAGACAGTTTAGGATGTGCTAATTGTTTCACCAAATATTACTTCACTTATTTGCTAAATTAAACAGCAGTTCCAGGAGTTCAGGATTTGTGAGGTTCCTAGCACAATGGGACCCAAATCCTGGATTAGTATCTCTAGATGTTCCAGCTACAATACACAATAAAACAACAAAACATCCTATAATGCAATGAAAAGGAGAAGTTTAGGAGCACAGTGGAACGAACCTATTACCAAAAAGGACCTCCAAGTTACATTTCACAACTGGTTTAGTGCTGTAACAGGGGCCCTTCTCGGGGCCAATTTAACCATGGCCCGCCCACCTGTTTCTGGGCTAACCGCCCACCTTCTCGTCCGCCACGCCTTGTTGTTAATTAGTTAAATGATGTAATTAATCGGGAGGCTGCCCATTTCCTGCCCTGATGCCAGGGGGTGCTATCTGCAGCTCCGTTCCTCCCCTACACCACAGCCCATGCCTCGCAGATGGCATCTAGATGTTATCATAATCACCGGCCCCCACACTGGGCCCCAGAGTCCTCCTGATTGAACCCTACCTGGATTCCTGTCCTCAGGCGTTCTCATCCGCCTTCATACCAGGCAGCATCGCTCCCTGACCCGCTTCCCCCTCATGGGTCTGGTCCCCCCAGGACCTTGGGCTACTAGCCCTGGCCCACCTCCGGACCAGTCGGGACTCCAGGCCCTCGGCTCTGGGCATTCCTCGCGCTGGGTCCCCGGCCCTTTGACCCTTTCGGTCCTGGCCCCAGCACCGACCAGTCAGGGGAAGTTCAGACAGGCCTGAGTCTATGGCCTCACTCTCTCTCTCCGGGGGTCCACCGTCCAGACCCTACGAAAGGGTAACCCACCCGGTCATGGGGGCTACAGGTTAAGGCATCCCGACCCACTTTTCACCGGGGTGGTAACTGACCTGGCATTTCCTGGGGCTCCCATGCCACTGGGAGCCCCACCAGGCCACTCACTCCCGGCAGGGTGCAGTTTTAGGTCGTACCCAGGACCAGGAGTCTCCTGACCATCCCCTACAGCTCCTCCCTTACCTCCAGATGACACCAGCAGCCCCCTGGCCAGGCGGTGTTGTTGCCTGGCCTCCAGCAGCAGAACAGCCCTGTTTATATGGGCAGCCCTAGGCTCAAAATGGCCACCCTCACCAGGCACCTGCCGGCTGCCAGCTCCAGGCCCTTACAGTGGCAGGCACCCCCAGAGGCCTGCCACAAGCACCAACATCTTCCAACAATGTTTTTGTCTCTTCACATGTTCTACCTGTCAGCAACAGTGGTGGCAACTCAGATTCTCTACCTGAGCCCTGGTACAGGACAGAGGAATTTATAGGCTAAGCCAGGAGAGCTGAACCCTTGGCTCATGGAGCTGTGTCATCCAGCCTGTGAGTCTCCCCACAAGTCTGGAAATTGGGTGGCAGGGGAGTAGTGGCTACATTAATTGCTGCTCCCTGCTGCCAAATTTCCAGACCTGTGGAGAACCTTGTGGGCCAGATGGTTTAGCCCTATACGCTACTCCCTCTGGTATAAAGTAACTTTATATCCCAAGAGCTAGTATCTCAGCTCTGCAGTGGGAAGGGAAACCATTTATACCTCCTTAGCTGAAGGTCCCCCTGCTGTGACTCATGAATATCCCTGTGGACTGGTGCATGGGGCCAGGTTAGCATGCTGCTGGACTGGTACACGGCCTGATCTGGCTCATAGGACTAGGTCAGCACACAAGACTGCACCTGCAGGCAGGATGGACCCACACACTGACCTCTTGCTGGGTCAGGCCTTAAGACTAACCCTGCCCATGGGATGCAGCTTGCAAACTGCTCCCACACCATTCTTCTGGCCCGTGGTGCTGGATAAGTTGAGCAGCACTGAGCTAACCTACAAAGGAAATTTAGGTTGGATATTAAGAACATTCTCACCACGAAGGTGGTTAAGCACTGAGGCAGATTATCTGTAGAGGTTGTAGAATCTCCATCCTTGGCAGTATTTAAGTGCAGGTCAGGTAAACATTTGTCTGAAAAGGCTTTGTTAGGAATGATCCTGTCTTGAGCAGGGGTTGGACTACGTGATCTCCTGATGTCCCTTCCAGGTCTACTTTTCATGATTCTATGATTCTGTAAGGCTGGTTACGGTCCTCATGTCTCAGGCATGGTGCCTGCTCAGCCAGGCATTCTTCATCAGGGGACAGCCCATGGTGGCGCAGGAACTGACTATGTCGACTTTGCCTCCACTGAAGGTCCACCCACATATCAGGGGGATCTTCAACTAAGGAGATGTATATGGTTTCCCTTCCCTCTTCAGCATTTGAGCAGGGCTTGGATCCTAACCCTTGGGATATAAAGTTACTTTATACCAGAAGGAGAAAGAAGATTTTCCTTTCTAGTTTCATAGTTGGTAGGGTCGGAAGGGACCTGAGCAGTTCATCAAGTCCTACCCCTGCCATGGCAGGAAAGAGTACTGGGGTCAAATGACCCCGGCAAGGTATTCATCTAGCCTCCTCTTAAAGACCCCCAGGGTAGGAGCCAGCACCACTTCTCTTGGAAGTTGGTTCCAGATCCTAGCTGCCCTGACAGTGAAGTAGCGCCTCCTGATGTCTAGTCTGAATCTACCCCCTGCCAGCTTGTGACCATTATTTCTTGTCACTCCTGGTAGTGCTCGGGGGAACAGGGACTCCACCAGGGCCTGCTGGTCCCCTCTGACTAGTTTGTAAATGGCCACTAGATCCCCCTCAGCCTTCTCTTGTGGAGGCTGAACAGATTTAGGTCCCTTAGCCTCCCCTCATAGGGCCTGCCCTGCTGCCCCCTGATCATGCGAGTGGCCCTCCTCTGGATCCTCTCCATGCTGTCCACATCCCTCCTGAAGTGTGGCACCCAGAACTGGACACAGCACTCCAACTGCAACCTGACCAGTGTCACATAAAGTGGAAGGTGCACATCCCATTTTGATGTTCCCAACATTTGAAAAATTGTAAGAGCTTCTAAGGAGGGACATGGAAACCAGAATCAAGAGATCTGCTTTCCACTACATTTAAAATGAGGTTTTGAAGAGGAGAAATTGCCTTCAACCAGGACAAGGAAAAATCACAGAGGAAACATTTGTAGGTTATTCCAGTCTCAGGGGAGATAATTAGAAAATTGGGGCAATGGACTTAAAAACTGATTCACTTACTCAGTGGTTTTGAGGGGCTTCATAATAAAATTATGGAATTAAAAGCATGAAGAGGGAAGATTGAGTTAATGAAAGAATATAATTTGGGGCTAAAATACATTTTGAAATCCACTGTGAATCCTCCACTACAATTAAAGATTATGCATTACTTCATTTAGAAAAATGAACAGTAAAAGCTAAATTAGGAATTAAAGTATTACCTTAGCTAAAGCTCACAAATGGAAGGGGGATGAGGGGATTGCAAAAGAAATCTTAAAAAGAAATAACTCTGAAGTTCTGTCCAGAAACAGAGATAAAAATAGACAAAGTCTGCAGAAGCCTCACCAGGTGACCTACAGTATCACCTTTAAATGGAAATTTAAAAATATGCAGCAATGGGGAATAAATCTGCTATGCTAATCACATTCCTGTCTCTACCTCAGGAAGTACGTGCTATGAAACACTAGAATGAGCCTTCTCTCCCAGAGATTACATGCAACATATGCACCTTTAGTCTGAAGCTAAGTTACACAGAGTGGTATATGATGCCTTTTAAATTAAATTAATAAGCAATATTTTGGAAAAGGGGACCTGTAAGAAAACCTTGCTACCCACCATCATTATCCTTCATAGGTAGCAAGACTGAAAAGCAAACCTGAGAGATGTGTATTTGCTATGTAATGGAGCAAATATTTTCTTAGGTGCTGAGCCTCAAATTAGAACAAAGCTATTAAAGCAGATTCCCAAAACAGAGGCACTTTAAGACAGGCTGAAATACTGCCTAAGAAAACTTGAGTACATATTAAATTTGATGCTAAAGAATAGAAGAATGACCTTTGCAGGGTCAAATCTGTGGGAGATGAATCCTGTAGTGACTGGAAAATGTAATTATGCCAATTTAAAGATTGAGTAAAAACTAATAAAGCCTCAGGGTATGTCAATTAATATTCAGAGTTAATAGAGATCTTTGAGTAGTTGTAAACCACATGTTAGTGGGGTGACAATTCTTTTGGTTTATTCTTGCTTTTCATCTTAATGCGGACTCAGTAGGCCATATCCCTCCACTTTTAAAAGCAACATGGCTACGTGGTTTCTGCCAAACTACAATAAAAATACTCTACTAAGTCTCTGTAAGCAGCTGATAATACTCTGACCCTCTAAGTTAAAAAAGCATTTTAAGTGATAGTAAGAGTTGGATATCTAGGCAGCAGAATCAAACCGGGTGCTCAGCTAGCAACAATCTGCAAATGCACATCACTTAACTTCTGTGGGAAAGCTCACGTCAAGTAAAAAGAACTCCTTGTGCCAGGAACTGCATGTGTGTGCACAAGCATTTGCAAGATCATGCTCTAGCTCACATCAGGCCCTTAGTTTTTATTGCACAATATCAGAAGTATTTTCATGTTTTTCAACAAAATAATGCGTTTGTTTTATTTAAATAGTTACCATCAGCTGACCCAAACAAATTCTAATGTTTTAGTGCTAAGGATCAAAAAACAAAGCTGACTAGCCTAGTTTCAACACAAAGGTGCATGATGTGTAAAAGTGGTGAACAACCGTAAAAGTGGTAAATGACCTGATCAATGGTTGCCAAGTGGTATGCCCATTGGTACTGCTGGCTCACTGCTCCATCTTGCTTCTAATGACTAAATCTGTTCTACAGTTATCTGACTGGTCCTTCTTGTCTGTGAAAAGTTCTACTTGGGGATATTCAGTACACATGTAATTACAGTGGATTTATTTAAGTTGTTCATTTTGTGCACATAGGCTCAGTAAGAGATTTTATGTTGGTGTAAACCAGCAGAGATTTTCAGAGCTGCAGAAATTCACCAGCCTTCAGTCTTCACAATCCTCTAACTTTAATATTCTATGGCTTTATTAGCAATTCAAAAAAGAACTGCTTAACATACAGCTTTTATGTGGTGGTAAAGGTGGCAGATAGACTTCTCAACTTGGCAACAGGGAGTTTTCAAGCTGATGGCCTTGATGCAATGACTGCTATTCATGGTTATTACTGAAATAATGCTGATGATCAATAAATCTGTATTATTTTATTTACCTTTGCACACCAAATCAGCACCTTCCCACTGCCCCGTGGCACTGCAAACTGCTGTCTGATTACCATTTTCCATCACATAACCATCCATGCAAATATAGACAACTTCACTTCTATAGGTGGTCCTACTCAGAGGTGCTGAATACGCTTTTTGGATAGAAGGTGGAACCCCACAATCTACAGCTATAAGCAAAAGTGGGAGAGAAAAAATAATCATATGAGGACAATAGAAATACAGGATCCTAATCTGCTCACAACAATGCCATGAGGCCCTTTATTTTAAAGTGAGAATTTGTTTGAGTTCAAATATATTAAAACATGCACTGACATTTTTTATAATGTAAAAAACTCCACTGTAATGAAACAATCTTTAAACCTATGAAATTCAACAGTAAGCTGCACAAAAAGGCAATTTCTTTGAATCAATGCCCATCACTTTTATTTGTTTTTAGTGTAAGCCTTTTGAAAAGATGTTGGCATATTTAGGTATGCATATGTTTACACTATAACATACTTCCTTCATTTCTCCACAGACAGACACCATCACGCTCAGAAACGCCTACTCTCCACACAGAATTATGCTGTAATTTCAAGATAATTCTCCTTGTTAACTCCTATGTGAAGTTACAGTCTTCCCAAACAAATTACTTCCGTATTCACATGTTTAAATCTGACAGGATTAAAGGGCTCATGCCACCTAAAATAGCCTGACATGAACCTACCAAAGCAAAGCACACCTCAATTATAATCTCTACTGTCAGAAAGGAACAATTTGTTATATTGCTGTATGAAAACATTTTGGAGTCTAGCTTGTAAGTAAAGTGTGTATATTCCTAGTTTCCTTGAGCAAAGAGAGATGATAAATTGTGAGGTTTTATTAAACTAGATAGGATAAATGAGTCAATAGTAGGATTGTCACACCGTAAGGAATTTTTTTAAGACTTCTCCATTAATAAAGAACAAAATGGAGCTGATAGTGCATTAGCATAAAATTCTTAGTAGAAGTGTGAAAAGCCGGCCCTTGCCTGTAGCCAGCCTGGGCTCTGGGCAGCTGCAGCAGGTAGCGGGCAGGCTGCAAACAGCTGCACAGGGCTCTGCAGCCCTGGCATCCACTCCATACCAGTGATGGCACACGTGCCTCAGAGCAGAGAGCGGGAGAGGGTTGCGCTGCCTCAGACCCTATCCCTGCTCTCTGCTCTGAGGTGCGTGTGCAGTTGCCGCCAGCATGGAGCTGATGCCAGGGCTGTGGAGCCTGGTGCAGCTGTTTGCAGCCTGCCCGCTGCCTGCTGCAGCTGCCCAGGGCCCAGGCTGGCTACAGGCAGGGGCTAGCAGCAACACTGGGCTTTTCCTGGCATTCAGCAGCAGCACTGGGGGGGCAGGTTGAGGAGGGCTACGGTGATGTCCAAGATCTGAAAATCTAGTCAACCAAACCCCATGACTACCTGGGCTAGCGTGGTGTGCTGAGAAATCAGAGACCCAGAGCCCCAAGTTCAAACCCTCTCTAGACACAGGAGATCTAGAATCCAGATTCTCCAACTTCCCAAGTGAGTGCCTTAGCCACTCAGTTACTGGGAGACAGGACGGGAAGGCCCTTCTCCTCCATGTTCTTCCTGGTGCACCTGCCCAGTTTGCATGTGTATACAAATATGTATGCACATGCACTATTTGGCCAAGATTAGAATTCCAACCCATGCATAAGTTTGACACTTAGATGATCCAAAATCTCATGTAGGCAACCAACACTTAGATGGCAAGGAAGGGAACAAATGCTACCCTCAAGTGGGTAAGTGGAATAAAATACTATTGCCCCTGACTATCTGAACAACAGTGATATATCTTTAAGTTTGGGGCCTGGAATGTGTCCCTGGAGCTCCATGGATAGGCGTCTACTCAACTTGAGAAGGCAGCCGGTCAATTTCATGGGCAGATCACAGGGCTGGCTGCCAATTTAGAGGGCTTATTGTGGTGGGATCCCCCATGCTTCTCACTGCCTGAGGGGCCCTGATGTCCCTG